CGCCGGCCGCCTCCTGCCGCTGCTGTGCGGGGGGGCGAGGAGCAAGGGGGCCTCCCTGAGCCCCGGGGCGCCGGGCCGCCTCACCCAGCGGCGCTACAAGAAGGACGTGCTGCCCTCCCCCGAGGGGCCCGTGCCCTCCGTCTCCATCACTGAGATCCGGCAGTACCTGCGGGCCCAGGGCATCCCCTTCCACGACGGGTACAGCTGCCTGCACACCCCCAGCCTCTTCACCAACAGCCGGGAGGACCAGCCGCTGCCGCCGGCCGCCAGCGCCCCTTACACGCTTTTCATTGACAAGACGACGGGCAGCTTCCTGTGCACGGCCACCCTGGCCGAGGGCACCTGGCAGGACTTCCAGGCCAACGTGGAGCTGCGGCACCGCGGCGTTCCCGCCCCCAGCTCGGAGGAGCCGGAGGAGGACACGCGACGGGCTCGCGAGGATGCCCGCTGCATCTGGGACCGGGCGCTGCCGCTCTGGGAGCTGCTGGACGAGGATGAGACCAGCAAGACCAAGGCCATGTTCGGTATCTCCCTGGTGACGGACGCCACGCTGAAACGCTTCGGGGTGCGTTACCTGAGGGCTGCCAAGTCCCTAGTCTTTCCCTGGTTCAGCCCCCGCGATGCAACCCTGAAGGGCCTGAAGCTCGTGAGGGTGGAGAAGAAGGGGGATGCGATCGCTTACGTGGAAGAGACTTTACCCCGCTTCGATTCCTATCGCAATCTCTTTGGGCTGCCCCTGGTCGGCCGCCGAGACACAGAGCTGGTCTTAACTGGGTGGGAGCTGGACGCCCTGGCCCTGCACCAAGCTACAGGGGTGGCCAGCCTGGCCCTGCCGCGGGGGGCCACCTGCCTGCCCCCCGCCCTCCTCCCCTACCTGGAGCAGTTCAAGCGCATCACACTGTGGCTGGGTGAGGACCTGCGCTCCTGGGAAGCCGCCAAGCTCTTTGCCCGCAAGCTGAGCCTCAAGCGCTGCTCCCTGGTGCGCCCCGGTGACCTGCAGCCCCGGCCCTTGGAGGCTCTGAACCAGGGCCTGAACCTCACCAAGATCTTGCGTGCAGCCCTGCCCGCCAGCCACAAATCCATCGTCTCCTTCCGGCAGCTGCGTGAGGAGGTGTTCGGGGAGCTGGTCAACACCGAGCAGGTGGCCGGCGTCAAGTGGGCGCGCTTCCCCGAGCTCAACAAGCTCCTCAAAGGGCACCGCAGAGGGGAGCTCACCGTCTTCACAGGTGATGGGCAAACGGCTGGTGGATGGAGGGAGCAGAGGGCTCTTTGGTGGCTTCAGCCTCCTGAGGGTGATGCCTCACGAGTCTTCCCGGTTCCTTTCTGCTCATGGCTTTGGCTGAGCCTGTCGTGGTGGTGCGTGAGAGGCTGGGGCGTTCCTGGGTGTGGTGGGGCCAGACGCGCGAGTGTGAGGATGGGCTCCGTGCCTGGGGCGGCACAGGGGCTCCCTTCCCCCTGCTCCCATGTGCTGCCTCCTGTCTGAGCCCTCTCTGTGCCTCCCTGCTGGCTGCCCAGCCCTTCCCTGCACCCCGCAGGGACCCGCTGGCTGCTGGAGGTGACACGTGTGTGCCCGGACACGCAGCCTGGCGCGAGACACTGCTTGTTTATGGTGGGAGTGCTGCGGATGGGCCACTCTTAGTCCGCTCCCTGGCACTTCCACCTCTAAACAACCCCTGGTGCGCTCAGGACAGGTCAGATCTTCTACCCCTGCTAATTCCTCCCGTCGTTGTCCTTGCGCCAGGCCCGACGGGCAGCGGGAAGACGACCTTTATCAGCGAGTACGCGCTGGACCTGTGCATGCAGGGGGTGTGCACACTGTGGGGCAGCTTTGAGATCAACAACGTCCGCCTGGCCAAGATCATGTTGACGCAGTTTGCCGCCCAGCGCCTGGAGGACCAGCTGGAGCTGTACGACGAGTGGGCCGACCGCTTCGAGGACCTCCCGCTCTACTTCATGACCTTCCATGGCCAGCAGAACATCAAGTATGGTGCCACACCTTCATCCCCAGTGGCGTTTGCCCCTCATGGCATGTGCTGTGGGGCCCTGGGGAGCTGGGGCTCTTCTCCCACAGTGGGTCGTGGATTTGAGGCTGGCAGGAGGCATGTTGGGGCTGGTCAGGTCCTGGGATTGGCACATGGGGACTGCGTGGCTCAGCTGGCCGCATCCCTGCTGTTGTGAGGACTGTGACAACCTCCTTCTGGGGTGGGGATGAAGGGAGGGGACCTGTCCCTGTGCTAGGTGGCTGCTCTAAAACCAGCCTCTGCCCCTGGCAGGATGTGTCCCCTCACACCCAGCTCACCTGGCAGCGCTGCTGTTTGCTGAGGACGGAGGACAGGCACCTCCAGCTCCTTTTATTCACCAGGCACTGTGGCACCTGCACGCATCCCCACACGCCCTGAGGGTCCCCGTGGGCTGGGAGGATCGCGGGACGGTGGGCAGGGACTGTGTGGGCAGCAGCTGGGTCCTGATCCAGCTGCCCTTACCTGGGGGATGGGGTTGCTCCCATCCTGTGACGGAGGAGATGTGGAGGTGGGATGTGCCTAGGGCCTGGTGGTCAGTGGCCAGCTGCCGTCGGCACCAGCCTGGTGCCTCCCCGCTCTGCCTCTCCCCGTCCCTGTGCCTGGCTTAGCATCCCCATCCTCACCTCTGCTTGTCCCTGTGGCTGATCCTGGCTAATCCCGTTCTCCCCCCGGCCCAGGACGGTGATTGACACCATGCAGCACGCCGTCTACATGTATGACATCACCCATGTGGTCGTCGACAACCTCCAGTTCATGATGGGACACGAGCACATCTCTGTGGACAGGTAGCCCTTCTCCAAGCCGCCCCCTCCTTCCTCCGCCACCCTCGTCACCGGAGTTGGCCCTGTTGGGTGTCACGGCAGGGGCTGGGGACCCGCATAGGGTGTCGCCTTTAGTCCTGTCTGGCAGCCCTGTTTCGTTGAAGGGCGATCACTGCCCTGGGGAGGAAGAGGTGGGAAAGGGTGAGACGGTTCCTGCGATCCTTGTCGCGCCCCATCCCTTCGCCCATGTGGGCCCGGCAGCCCCACGGAGTGTAAGCCCGGACCCCGCGGTGCTTCCTGCTGTGGGACTGAACCTGGCAGCACCTTGCTGCCCCGCCCCGAGCAGTGCCAGCTCCTGACCCCGTTCTCACTGCCACGGCAGGCTTGCTGCCCAGGACTACATTGTTGGTGCCTTCCGCAAGTTCGCCACGGACAACACCTGCCACATCACACTGGTCATCCATCCCCGCAAGGAGGATGACGAGAAGGAGCTGCAGACGGCCTCCATCTTCGGCTCTGCCAAGGTGAGCTGGGCCGGGGTGGCCCTTCCTGTCCCTCGGGCACAGCGTGTTCTCGGGAAGGGGCTGGGATACGTTGGGCAGCCGTCCACAGCTCCCACCAGCACCCTGAGTCATCGCTGGGGACCTGAAAGGCGCTGTGAGAGGCAGGATGCCCCCAGGACTCCTGTCACCTGCTGAAGATGTGCGGAGTCCCGATTTGGCCAGGCCTTGGTAGGGATATGCAGACAGGGAGCAAAGCCTTTGCCAGCTAAAGCTCTGTTGGGACTTTAGGTGCAGTTAAGTAATGCTCGTTGACTGAGTGGGATGTAGTATGAGATAATTAAAGAAGGAGCCAGGGAGGGTGCAGGGATGGGCTCTCTGAGCGCTCCAGTCTCTGCTGTGATGCTGAATGACCCTGCAGTGGTGGGCAGGAGGTGATCTGTGAGTGTGCACAGCCCTCCCGTGTTTCCCCAGGGCGTGCTGTGGCTTCGGCTCAAGCCTATCTGCCCGGCGGGTCGCTGGGATCCTCCGGGGGAAGACAAGGGGTTGGTGTTGTGAAGGTGCTGGAGTTGCCGTGGCCTGGGATGCCCTGTAACAGGGCTTGAAGGAGCCGGGCAGGCAGCCCGTGAGCACCTCTGAGCCCTGTGACTCTGGCTGCCTCCCCGGCACCCTCC